TGAATGTTGCTTTGCCAATACATACGTTATATGAAGTATAATGTATGTACAAAGGATAATCGAGAAATATATGGTCCTTGAGTATATTTAATGAAGCATAATCAAATATCGTATCGTAATGCGGCAATTAAACAGCGCAACACGTTGAATAAATAATTAACAGAGACAGTGCGATGCAAAGAAAATTTATTTTACGTATAGAAATTCAATAATGGATGTAATTTCTTTTGCACGCCATTCGATCGAATGCTCTTAATTAGCAAGAATCCTTTATGAACTTTCTGACATGAGCACGGCACGTTTCTCGCGTTTATATCCCAAAACACGGCTTTAAACAGTACCGATTTTATCGCTCGTTCGTTAATTATTCTTTTCTTTAGGGTCCGGTGGAGAATTCCGATGCTCTCGTGTACGGTCAATTAAAACAACTTGCGCGAGTCGAACTAATACGAGCCATTAACACCGAGGGAAGAAAATCCGATTTCCGAAGAGCAACGTCTGAACGACATGGCTATAGCACGACGAAAAGTCGGAAGCGAGTGAGTGCATTTAAGCGGAAAACGTGGATCGGGTTAATGGCAATATCTACATATGCCGTTCCTGGCTTCGATCCATTTCTGTTTTCACCTCCATAACAATTCTTAATTAAAGAAACTGAGAATGCACTTCGTGTTGATGGTTGCGGCCATTGCAGATGACCATTAATTTGATTTGGTGGAAATAATAATAGCGCTGATGGCAGTCCGTTGCGCAATAAAAATAATTATAATGATAGTTTCCGCAGCCCGGTGATGAACCCGATAACGAATAGTGACAAGCGCGACCTTTTTTTGAATTCTATGTCGCGCACGTTTCTATCGGCAGACCGTCGATTGAAAATCAAACCGCAATATCGCAGCTCGCGTATCCGATCGTCGAGGTTAAATTTGATGACGGAATTACTACTATTCACGGAAACGGTGCATTGATGCGTGCTATTGTTCTCTTTGTGACACCACCGGAACAGAATCGAACTATTAAATATTAAAGAAAATCGATACTCTTGCGCAGAGAGAGAGAGAGAGAGAGAGAAGAGCGAGAGAGAGAGAGAGAACTAATTTAGAATACCACCCTCGCATCGGATAATTTGACGTGGGCGTGGAATGCACGATAAACTATGATAAACGCATGAACGTAACGGGCGATCAACTCCACGCTTTGTCAATGTTATATCGCGATGAAATGGAATGCATTTCAGTTAAGTTTAACACATTAGACAGTACGCGACGCGAACTCGAAAAAGATAATGCCACTTACGTATGTTAGCCCGCTCGATCAGGTTGATGGGCACCTTGCGAGCGCACCGGAGGTACTCGGAGAACAATACACTTCCGGTGCGGTTGACAAAGACGCACGGCGCGTACACCGGAGGTTCGGCATTGACGGGAGGAAGGACGGAGAGAAGGACGTACGTTTGATTCCGTGTGGGACGGCGCAATACATCTCTCCTCGGTTTACCGGTCGCTCGCTGAGACGGAAGTGTATCGTGCCCGACGAAGCGGGCACATCCGGCTCGCAAGATTAATTGCCAATAAACCTCTATTACAGAGACCTCTTCCCGCACCGTCACTCTTCTCACGATATCGTGTCGTTTCCCGGTCAATCGCTTCGTACGCAACAGCGCCGATCGCCTCTACTTTTTAGACAGACCCTTTGATGAGAATAACGAGATAATCCGAATATTAGATTATTCAGTGTCCAGGCTTTTGCAAAAGAGAAAAAAAAAAGAACGTGCGAAAATGCGACGATGAAAAATCATTGATCACGCAAAAGATAATTTATTATAGGAACGATGTAACATAATTCAGAGACGCGCAATTTATTCCTCTCGGTTATAACGATTCACGACCGTCACGATTATTCACGCAATACGAGCTGTCTCGAAACAAAATGCGCTGTCTCGCAAGAAGATTGATAATTTATTATACCGCTATGAAGCGTCTATTTAGTCTACGTTCCGAGAGTTTGGATTATAAACACTTGTACGATAAAAGAAAATACATAACATAAGTGCGCATTAGCAAAATGTGTTTCTATCGGCTGAGATATCTAGTTTTATTTTTAGACTAAAGCGTGTATTTGCATTTCAACTTAAGTGTTTTACATTTCAATTTGATATAGTGTGAAAAACATTACTAACAAATTGTTACAGGTATGCATGTGTTTTTAATTACATGATCCATGACTTCGCGCTTGGAAATTGCATTTATGCAAATGGGGTGACTATCTGAAAAATTTGACATAGAAAAATGATGCCAGTTTGCGTGCTTAGAAGCTGCGTGATTATGCATGCAATAAATCTCGCTTCGAAATCGCCAAGTGAATGCTTAGGAACACGTGCGAATCGATCGTAGCCTATCTTGCACCTCGGCCTGGTAATCGAGGGAAATTGCTTTCATCTGAATTCAAAAGCATGTACGGGGAGATCAAAGTTCTTACGTGCCGGCGATGACGAAACGAACGGACACGATGGTGCGAAGAACTTATCACGCGAGCGTCGATTAAAGTTTCCACTTTGCACCTGGTTTCATGAATTTCTCAACTATGATTGATCGTTTCGAAGCGCTTTGAAAATTGTCATCCTTCGTTCGGACACATTCTAAGCGAATGTTAATAACGGATGACAAGTACATCTGATATGATAATGCTGACGACTCATGGATAATTTATATATTAATTCGAGATATAGTTTCTCCGCTTTTCGTATGTGAGATATAGATTCGCTATGATTGACACAATGCGCGTAATTTGGAAGCCAACAATACCTCTACTCCTACGTAAGAATACGGACGGAAAAGTTTACCGCTTATGAGCATCGACAGAATCGATATCCGCATATCACGAAGGTATAGAGGAAAAAGAGGGTGGCTGAATGAAAGAGAGGGTAAATTGATGGAACGCTCCGATTAAAAGCTAATGACATCGCGTTTCTACGCGAATGACGGCTTCAAAGGAAAGCTTTTTCTGAAGTTCGTCGACTTGACAAACGATCGTAAGACCAACAAGAAACGGTGTCTGGCGCGAACCATCTTAATGAAATGGTCTTAATTGAACCAATTGATTAATTTTTCAGCATTACAAATTTCCAACTTAATATGCTTTTATTAATAAACAAGAAGTAATATGGGAGATAACATTAAATTTGCAAATAAAAAAAAGATGCAAATTAAGTAATTTGCAAATTAAAAATACAAAGTATAAGAAATTTTTTAAATTATTCTTTTGCTCTTTTATGTAATATGCCGGTAAATTTTAGTTTATTCATTTGCTCTTATATGTTTAGCAAATGAAAATAGAGAAGCGTCTCTGAATATTATTACTACTATACTATTATCTATTACCAACTGGCGGACTATGATGGAGGTCTAGCTCTGAAAAGCGGATATTTGTTTGGGTGAGTCTATGGAAGTCCATGAAAGTCCACAAATCTGAGAATATCCTTCCTAGATTTATAGCGATCTCTGTAATACCCGCGATTTCCAAAAAGAGTGGACGTGCGGGAATATGTCACTCTCTGTGCGACCGTTTTCTCGGGGAAATCCTGCTCTTTCATACGGCGGTACGTGCGTCGCGCTTGACATATGCCACAAATTATTATTTTGACATTTCAGATCGCCTCTTATTTCTGCATCAGGAGCTCCCAATTCCCGTGTCTCGCGAAATCGTGATGCAGAAGCTTTCATCAATCATTTCAACAAAATGAAAATATAGATGGCCGGCGGCGACAAGAAAAATTATGCAGAAAAAGGACGGCCGCTCAGAGCTGAGATACATTATTATCTTTGTTTTTTTTTTCTAAGAGTTACATTGCGTTTTTTTCCCTGCCTATCCAAGAGATGGATATTAATTAGCAAGTAGCAGTACAATATACGTGCTCAAGCACGAAATAACAAAGGGATAAATGTCGTTAATCGTGGGACATTTAGAACAATCGCTGCACAGAATGTAGATTTTTCTTGCGCCAAGGGAGCAATTAGGGACTCTCTCTATATTCAAATTTTAATGCCTCTCAGTACGTTTTGATGTACCATTTAGAGGGAACAGTGATTCATTAGAATACATTAAAAAGTCATATTACTGGCGGAATATATGTTATCAAAAATGGTTGGCAGAGAAAATTTATTTAACCCGCGATGATATATAACGATCGCGATGTAACAGCGCATACCGTTATAAATCTCCATCGTATTTCCATCGTAATTTGTGATGTCTCTCTTATCTTTACACACAGATAAATTCACGCTTTTGTATCAACCGGGTAATTTATTGTGAGAAAAGGCTTAAGATCTCTTACATATCTCGCGTCCTGTTGTTACTCACTCACTTTTCGACTACCCGGTGAATAAAGCCGATGCTGGGTGACGCCGCATCTGGTGCCGGGGACAATTAGAGGGACTCATGAGCCATCGGAATTAACACTTACAACGGCGCGAGCGAATATTTACCGGCGCATTATACGGCCCGTAGTGTGCGTGGGCTTGTTCGCGAGACAATAGACTTGCCGAGTAAGCCGTCCCGAGAAGCGCGACGATACACCGAGAATATCCTCGTTGAAGATCGTACAGACGCTTGTCGTGGAGAGACTAGGGGAGGGTATTATATCGGTGATTATATCGGTGGATGCTGATAGTGAGAAAATGGAACCTCGATGTCAGCAACTGGAGGATACTACTCCAGGCCTCATTGACCGACCTCTTCACCTCACGCCAAGAGGACAATACCGATCGCGAGAACTTGCCTTCGTCGCCACAATTGAGCAGCCAATTTTCTTCGGAAAAAGGCATTAAAGGCGACAAACTTGTTCGTCAACATCAAATGAATATGTTCTTAGAGCAGAATCAGAATCAAACGGATATTATTAGCATATTAACAATTGTACTTTCGAATATGCTTATTATTAATTTAAATACCTACAACTGTATGGTACTACATGATCTAATCACACTTGTTGTTAATTCCAGATTGTTGACTTTTTGCTACTTGGCAGCGCTGAATTGTTGGCTGCTCCTGTGTCCGGCTATACTTTCGCACGATTGGCAGATGGGATCGGTTCCTTTGGTTACATCTTTTACGGACACCAGAAATCTCGCCACCTGTATATTCTTCGGCGGTTGTCTGGTTCTCACGTACAAAGCCTTCACGGATTTCGAGGTAAATATATAAAATTTGATAATTGTAGATTATAGTCAAATTGTGCTAAAATCAAACGGAATATTTGCACATAAATTACTATGAGCAGTTCACAAATATTCCTCTATGTAAGCGTTGGAAACATCGTTTACTATTCTCACTTTACAGTACAGTATCAAGTCACGCTTTAATGAGAGATTTACGGAGAAATTTTACGTGAATTCTTTTACTTTATTATAACAAATTGACGTAAAGTTATTCTTTTCAAGTGATCAGTATCGTAGATACTCGCCGACGTTATTGGTCACGTTACGAGATCATAAAGCGGAATGACCACTAGTTATCGTCCGCGAAATGTCATCCCGCGGTTAAACGTTTCTGCCGCGGGCCGGGCGTAACACAAGAAAAACGTAGTACTCCTGTACCTCAATACCTGTCGGCTATAGTCCGACAATGAAATTGTGCTTGGCTCGAGAGTCATAAAAGAAGTTTCGTAGTACCTACATGACATAAGCTTGAAGTCAAACGATAAAAGCGTATCTCGTAAACCACTTCTGTCTTCTGCGTCTTTTGGATCAGCCGTGACGGTCGTTGAGCCTTCGGCATAATGACCTCTTTAAGGTTCACTGTCTGTATGTCGATGTCACTTTTCCTCAAAGAGGTCATATCTGTGCTTTTAATGTCACCTCACACGCTTGACTAGCCGCCGGCAGTTACCTAGCTCTTCGCAGGCACGAAGTGGAAACAGACGTCTTTTTCTCGAACGGGGTCATCCTTAAGACTCTTACGCACTATATCTACACATTGCATTTATAAGAGAGGGTTCGAAGATTTTTTTACAAAAAAAAAATATGATTGCTTTCTATTCTGTAGTCTTTTGTGTACATCTGGTACAATTTATTGCTTTGCGCAATTAGGTTTCGCAACTTATTGTAAGTCTCCAACTTATATGTATTTGACTTTTTCTTATCCTAATATGAATATTAACATTTGCAATATTTTTCCAAAGAAAACCAAGAAAATGAAGTTACATGTGTATTTTTATATAGGAAGTTTCTATTATATGTATATATTATATGGACAGTGTCTTTCCAAGATTTTGTCTAGTAGATTTGGAATACAATATGAGTTACATGTGATCACATTAAATAAATTATTGTTGGTAAATTTCAAGATAATGATGCTTACTGTCACATACTAGAGCTATATCTTTAATAGCTATCGGTGGTGTCATACCTAACATGATGTTAAAATAACAGTCTATACTGTGAAAATAGGATTACTAAAATAATTTCAATCGATAAATAATAATATATTATGTAGCATGTTTATTGTATATGTTCTAACCACTTAGATATAATCAGTGCAGAAGATCTGCTTATTTGCTGCTTATATATTCTTTCGATTTGTCTCTCTGCATATTTTTTGTATCCGCAAAGGAATTAACCGACGATTTCATTTCAATGCATTATCCTCCTTAAGCTTAAGCTTGCTCCTTGCGCTAATGCTGCTTCGTTATATTTAGACCTTTCCTCAAAACATGTTATCACTGTTTCTAATTTTCATTATTTTTTAATCTTGAAAATTTGCATGCAATATTTTTCTTAAAATTTCTAATTTTTTAAATTATTTTTTAAATTTTCTTAGCTTTTGACTATGCGCGGATACCTATGTTTTCGTAGTTTCTTGTTTATATCATACGATTTGTCACAAAAATTCATTATTTATTCATGTACAAATTAGACGATGGCAATAATTTTGATGAATCTTGTTTATTTATGTTTTCGATATTATTCTGAAATATTGCATTTGCGAATATCACGGTATTTGTGGTAACTTTTAAAATTTTCTTCGCTTTTATTAACGAACTTTTATTATTATTCTTATTTTCTTCTACTCGGTCTTTTACTTTACTGGAGAATATCGTTTCTATTGATTCTCGCTGAAGATTTGTATTGTGTCGCGTATTTTGCTTGCGTTTCTGTATGTGAATTGGATCACGATGCTGCTGTTATACCACTTTGTACTGATGTTTCGTCTTTGATAATGCTGCACGTCTTTTACTGACGTAGTTACATCTGTAAAGTCATTTGTAAAGTCACTTTTCGATACATTTCTATTCTCGTTTTCCATGTGCGCATCATAATAAGAATCAGACAGTGAATTTTTTTATATTAGCTTGTTTTATTATTGTTAAAAATCGCGAAATTTGTTGGCTTTTTTAAGCTTGCAATAATTTATTCTTTCCATTTGTGATTTTCCGTAAGAATTATGTCACTAAATCTTGCATTAATTTATCTTGAAATTTGTTCCAAACTTTTCTAAAAGACATCGGCTGCGCTGACGTCGCGACGCTCGCAGTAACTTCCCAACTTCTTTTATAATCGCTAAGTAATATGTTCGTGCTGCACTTCTGTACATGAGCTGAATGACGTTACCTCTTCCATAACTCTTGACATGTATTTCGCATTTCGTGGAGTTGGTTTTTTCTGTCGACAACAGCAAGCAAATAATTATCTTGTCTTCCTTTCGAATATTTAAATCATATATTCTATGACGTCTCTTCTTTCGCGTCATTTTTACATTGTCATTTTTTATATGATCAATCTTGTTATGGTAGCTACAATAAGTTGTGTTGGTCAGATTTATTATTCTTTTTATGTTGGTTATCTTTCACGTTTATTAGAAATAATTATTTCCAATTTTTCCAACACTTCAGCTTTATAAATAAATTTCTGTTTCTTCCAAATCGTCGTTAATACTAATTCTGTTCTTTCCGAACTTATGATATTTTGATATTAATACTTCAACGCATTATACGATCATCAATATCGTTAATTTCTAGATATGTTATATTTATACGTTATGTTTATTTTACTTTCCTTTAGGTTCATAGGTTTCTTTCTGCTATTCATAATTTTCCGCGGGTTGTCGGGTGATGCGATCTTGAATAAATTATATTAAGGCTCATTGTTAATTGAAATTGTTTCTGCAGCATTTACGGTAACTTTTTGATTTTCTCTCAGATTTTAATTCTCATTTTGATTTTTTTGTCAGTGTTTTAACATCCATCAGATGTTTGGCTGAAGCAGCAGTTGGACATTGGTATCAGCTAATACTGTGATGGACTTTGTATTTCCCTAGATACGTCTTTGAGTGCGCATGAAATACCGATGAATGAGCTAACAGCAAATCGGCCAGTGGATGACTTTTAATTCCACTGAAACCCATCTCAATCTCCGTTGACGTCGCATCATTATCAATTACAGAATGAGTCCTTTCTAGAACGCCAGAGTCGTTCTCAGTTTTCATTTTAACTGTGTCGATCCATCATCAACTGATGGCGACGTGAACACATTATTTGTATGCTTGCTCCCTTTTTCATCAGATAAACTCGACGAGAATGACGTCGCATTGTTGGCGGCAACACTCTGAACCACTCTGATCCCTCGAGTGATAATATTCGATATCAATGTTCACAGTTTTTCGCGAAGACACGCTCGTGGAAATTTTTGTTATTAATATGTTTCCCTCATCGCTTTTTTTTCAATTTCTTCCATCATTTCCAGATAGTAGAATATTGGACTTTATAATCGAGGGGTTAAATGTTTATTTCTGTTTCCATATTTTGTTCATGATGTAAATTAATCGATAAAAGAGTTGAAGCAGAAAATCTGCTAAATTCGTCTTTGTTTTTATCAGTGAATATGTATGTTCTCTACTTTCGTATCGATATTGTTGTTCAAGTTTTATTTTTCCAGCAAATTAGGTGCTGGTATTATTTTTTCGTCGTCTACATTGTAATCAATTTTGTCATAAATATCCATTGTTGAAATTTTCCTTTTGATGCTCCATGTGACATTCATCTTTGCCTCTTCGCATTCGAGTTCATTTTCGAATAATTTTTCGAAGTACAAACTTTTTCTCATATATTTTTTTTCTCGTTCATATAATTCTACGACGTGAAAGACATGAATTGCACGAGCTTTAGAATCCGCGTCTGTCATTTTATGTGTTTCCATTTTGATATACCGTTTCCTGTCTCTTCATCTTCTTTCTTACACGAAAGTGCATATGTAGTGCATGTGCCTGTGAAGATGCATGTCGCAGTCCGGTGTTCTCTTCATCGTCGTGGGATAACGATCCGTGCGTGTCGTGCAATACTGTAGGTTTATGAAGCATTCCATTTGTCTTGTAAACATATACTTTTCTCTTGAGGTTACCTACATTTTATGTGCGATACATGTTTCTGATATTCCGATTTACGCAATAACTTTGTATACGAACATTCAGCATCCACATTGTCGATTATTATGGAATCAGATGTGTATTAAATGTATTATTTATTTCGTAGTGTAATATGCGGATAATAATGTATCAGTTCGAATATTTGATACGGAAAATCACATGACGGTGCGATATATTTTCGGTTTCAAAACACCTTGTTATTTTTTGTACACTGTGATAGTCTGATAAAATGAATAAAAAAAATATCAGTATTGAATAAAGATTTTAAACCAGACGAGAATTACGTGCTAAAATAAAATCGCACACAAATTTTTATGCTGCATTGCTTGAGTCGCTTACTCTCGCTCGAGTCAATATTTTATAAATAGCAACCTGACAGTTTGAAATTTCAATGACTGCTTTTCGAGTTTCTAGCGTTGCCCGTGCAGTCTTCGCTTAATTTAAGTGGCTGCCCGGATATATCATATTTATGCGGATTTAGTCGCAAAAGTCTTAAAATGTTTTCTTTCATTGTTTATATGATTGAACATACATTTTGCTTACACTTTTATCATTTGATTTTTCACGATACGGATTAAATGAAATAAAATTCTAACAGAGAAAAAATGACATCATCAAAGTCTTAATCATTTTTTTCTTCATTTCTCAATAAAATATTGAAAACTGCTATTTATTGTCATTATAGTCGTAATACTTTTTATTCTTTGTAAATGTGGTGAGTGTTTTAAAGCATTGTTGTTTTAAAGCACGATCACGTACGATTTTGTTCATTAATTGATTATATTCATATATTGTACATCAAATTCCTCTAAAAAATTGTCGATACTCTGAAGTTTATCTTTCCAAAGTTAAGAGGTTACAGATCGAGATATGATTTTAAATCATTACTCGTTATACGTTTAAAACTTACGAGTGCATTTAATCATAATTTTACGAGTATGCGAGTTGCGTAAAAGCAACATAAACTTACTCAAGTATAACATAAACTTTAATCGAGTACACTCATCCGGTAAAGATGAAACTTATGTACACAACAGTTTGCTCGAAGAGATTTCGATGTAGTAGCGTTAGATTTAACGAGGATTTAAACCCTATATTTATCAACGAATGTCTGAAATAAGATATCATATTTTTCTGTCTTTTTTAGCAACAAAGGCATCCGCCTCTGGTTCTTGGTTGGATGTTTCTGGTGCTGCCGTTCCTACTTGCGTCCAATCTTTTCTTCACTGTCGGTTTTGTCGTGGCAGAACGGGTTTTATATACGCCGAGGTAATTTTGTTAAAGTGCTATACTTAACAATACTAAAATCGCGATGTTTATTGCAACGAGTGACATGAATTCTTGATGTAATTTTACAGTGTTGGGTGGATTATTTTGATCGTCTACGGTATGCAGGTGAGCTGGGTCGCTGCACCACGACGGAGAAGTTGGATCACTACAGGCGTAGTTCTCCTGCTCGTTTTAGGATGTTTCAGAACGGTTCTTCGGAACAACGATTGGAGATCTAGAGAAACTTTAATCAAGTACGTGATAACGGATTTACGTGTCACATGTTTTATTAATCGTTCGAGAAACTTTCTTGCTTTGCGAGGATAAAATCCTCGCGTTAATGACAAACATAAATAATCGTTCTTACTGCACGCAATCTCATCTGAGCCTCGCGATTACGACAAAAATGATTTTGTCACGCGAGGATGCCGTAGACATTTACGGCGAGTGCCTAGTTCTGACTTAAACAAGGAGACTGGCATAATGCCAGTGGTATATACGTTCAAGAACTTGGTGCAGGCGCCGATTGCCTATGTATGGGGTCGCAAAACATAACTAACGTAGATATGGGATGACGAGGGTGGTACGGTCGTGTCGAGGTCGAGAGGATGGTCTCGTCTGACCTCAAATCGCCTTGTTTCAGAGCGGGACTGCGGTCTCTACCCTACAATGCCAAGATGCATTACAACTTCGCTAATTTCCTTAAAGACACGTCGCAACCGAACCTTGCGGTTCACCATTATCAGTTGGCCCTCTGGTAAGTGTGTTTCTCTTTCTCGCACCGTATATAAAATTTCTAGATGCATGTTAGAACAAAAGTGGTATTCATTTATTTGCGTGGGAACCACGATCAACATCATTACAAATATTTAAGTGCTTTGTGGTTTGTTGTTGATGTGTTAATCGAGAGATTGCACATTTGAAGGTATTGAATCACAGAATATTATATATCAGTAATTTAAAACAGAAGACACATTATTTTATGTATATATAAAGTATTACAACATATACATTTTCTGTGCTTCTTGTGTTTTATACTTTAATAAGTAATTCTACTCTTAATATATTAATTGAGATTAATTAATAAGAAGATTTCGTTAGATCGTCCGTTTATTTTTAAAGTTCTACCTTAATAAATGTTTCCGATTATGGGTATGAATTATTTTATTCGTTTTCTTTCTTTGATATGCTTTAAATATTACACACTACAAAACTGATTACATTTCGTTACCATCGATTTATTATTTTTCAATAAATATTTGTGTTGACAATTACCTACCAAATAACTAAATTGCACATATAAAAGTTTATATTAAAAAGTTTAATAATAAATAATATACACAAGTATGGAAGACATTATATCGATTTCGTTATAATTGAAGCAATAAAATCCATCATTTCATAAAATATCATAAATCTTATTGAATTGCTACATTAATACTGCAATATGCGAGAGTAACATTTTATAAAAATATTATACATAACTAGGTTATATTTACTTCAAGCATCAGATTTTAAAAGATTAACAAAAATAAATGTATCAACCATCATTTATAACAACATACTAACTCGCCCCAATTAAATAATTCAAGTATAGAAGGCTCTTAAATCCGATAAATTGTATTTCACGTAGCTGTAGCCAGTTACACGGCTATCGTATATCTTCTCGAAATGGAGTGAAAATTGGAAATATTTTTAGGATTAGAGATTTTATTGATATACATAAATAATATTAGAAACATATAATGAAAAATATTTGAAATATAACATTTCTAGCATTGTTTACGTTTCAAACTTTTCCAATAACAGTAACATATATATTGAGCTGTCACTGTTAAAATGTATTTGCGCAAGAAAAATGTTCTGATCGCAAATGCAATTTACTAAAATAAGCAGAATTATGTGAAAAATGTCTTTAAACATTCTAAACTTGTCTGGTGGTTGTACAAACAGCGTGCCAGATAATCGTCAATTCGCAGTTGTAGTTGCTTCGTGTTATGTGATGAATCAAATTATATTTTTGAGACTAATTTTTTGCATCAATTATTTATAAACAACTATTTGGTAAACTGCGTACTTCTAGTACATCTCTGGTGACATGTTTCTGAACAATGTGTATCTATTGTTATAGCTGGTTGAGATATTCTGTTACAAAATTACTTTGAATTTTTCTATTATTGCATAATTAGTGGTTTCTATTGCGATCAATCGCTCTAAAAAGTGTTTATAATTATCAATCGAAATTCTATAGAAAATCTCCCGTTTATTCTATTTTATACTTACGTATCAATTTTGATAAAAATTATGGATGAATAGAGATCAAACACAAATTCATGAATATGAATGTTGTTTTGTAAAAGAACGTGTCGTTACGGTACACATATGCTTGTGTCCAGCACGGTTTTTTAACTTTTATAGAGAATATCACGATGAAAGGGGAGAAAAAGTAATTGAGAAGATTTATTTATAAATTTCAGCATTATTGAGGAATTTTAATCACCTTTCAGCTTCGTACCTTCTGTAACTTTGTAATAATTTTTTCATCTTTGGGATATATATATAGACGGTGGTAAATTAATGCATAAACTCGGCGGCACAATATAATTGCAAATTCATGATTTGCATTTTTTTAACCAACTCGCCAAATGCTTGCTTTCTACCTTAGGTTTTCATAATTTCCATAAAATAATGTTATCACAGAAATCTTTTAAAATAATCACGTTTATATTTGTATTGTTTTATTATCTCGTCTTTATTTTCATTTCTTTACCATTATGATCTATTTTTATTTGCTTATATATTTCTTTTTGCGTGACAGAACAGACAGAATATCATACAAGGGTAGGCAACATAACACAATCTTATTACGACATGCAGACTCTTTTCTCTGCTTCTCAACTACCCTTTTCCCCTATCGCGTTTCTCGTGCATAGCGCGAGCAGGGTTGCAGCAAACCGACAAAAGTGCATTAATTAGCCGTAGCTCGACTGCGCTCGAGATGAAGTGGTAACCAGTCGTTCGTTTTTTTTTTATTTCGTTTCTTTTTTCTCTCTCTCGTTCTCTGCCTCTCCATGTCTGTTCCTATGTTCCTGCCTGCGCATTTTTGTCCTACGTGTATTTCGTGAATTTCGTTATCCCGTCCAGCACAAGAAACGCTCAAGGGTCATCGCGACGCAAAAAATAATCGTCTGTTGGAAAAATAAACGCATTCTCGTTTCAAACTTCTGTGGCGTGTACTTTTGCGATGTGTCATGCGATTCATCATCGGGCAATCGTCTGCGGTGTACCGATAAATCGGGTCGTCGCCGTTCCTCTGTACACGTTACCATGCACGAGCGCTACGTGCATTTCGCAACGTATCGCGCTTGGATTGTTTCATCGTAATATCAGATTATTTGTCTACGCGAATGCAATCAGTCCGGTAAACATATCGAGGAAATGGTGATGTGGCGCGGGAAAAAAAAATGCCGAGGATCGATGAGGAGGGAAGGGAAGAGAGAGAATTGGTTGGCGTGACAGCAGCTGCAGCCGCTGCGTTGCAGAAGCGGGAGGCTGCAGCCGGATGAAAATTGCATTTCGGCGGTACACCCGCGCTCGTCCAGTTCGCTCACTTGTAGATCTCATTTCCTACGCTGAGCTTTCTAACCGTTCTGTGCAGGTCGCACTTCTTTTTTTCTCTCCCTCTCTCCCTCTCTCTTTCTTTCTCTCTTTCTCTTTCTACTCTGGCTCCTCTTTTCCGCCACTTTTCGTTACCATCGTTGCATCGCGCCCTACGGATCGACTGATATTGGCTCTGAAAAATCGAACCTTCAACTAACTGGCAATTTCCTCCGTTTGTTTTGTACGCCAAATCATCGCATCGTTCGCTATTTTAGCCGACGCATAACGTGGCGTTGGATCGTAGATTGGCGAAAGACTGCCTTCCTCTCTTTTACCTCGTGCTCGAAATAACATTTTACGGTCGTATCGCCTAACGTGCGATTCCATAAAACTCCGCTCGAGAATAATGGCTCGATCCTCCTCGTACATCTCGCGTTTCCACCGTCTCGCTGCGTCCCGTTCATTGCCTGCAACATTCCGCTTTAGTTTTGATCCTCGCGCGACGAATTAGTTTTCGATCTGTCGTACGAAATTTCCCCGAGGAGATCCACGACGAAGTTTCTGCTCCCTCCGGAATATCGCGCCGAGTAAGTAATTTAAAGTAGCCTGAGATTGACCTGGTCCGTGCACGAGTAATAATTGAGCGTCACCGGAAGAACATAGAGTTCTCTTGAGGTATTCACTCCAAGGCCCCTAGTTCCCCATCTTTCTCTCTTTTTCTCTCTCTTTCTGTAGCGCTTATTGCATTTGTGGAAAGAATGGCGCGAGGTGTCTTGAGAATTATGACCGAAGGATAAAGCGAAAAGCGGTATGAAATGAGAAAGAAGAGGCGAGCATACTCGGTCGATGGAACGTCATAGAATCGAGGTAAGACGCGACTTTTCTGTTTGCTTTTCATTCGCCGGAAAAAGCAGACCGTATCGTGAAAACGCATTCCTTCGCTCTCTTTCATTCGTCTCTCTTTTCTCTCTTTCCGATTATTTTGGTACATAGTCACGTTACTCTCTCAACAGTCCGCTTTTTCCTTCTCTTGGTCAATAGCCACGAAACGCTAGAACTTCATGATTTAATTCTTGCTTTCTTTATATTAACAGATCTCTTTTATTGTATCAATTTTGCGTGTATCTTTGTGTGTGTAAAAACATAATCACTTTTTAACCTTTTAATCTTTTAATCTTCTGTTTTAATAATAATGTATGTGCGTGCACATCTATAATTAAAAATATATTCCTTTTGTATGAAAAAAGAACTTCGATTAAATTAATCATGCGAATAAATAAATCCTTCCAAATATTCTCACCTTTTAAACCTTAAAAAAATTTATTGTTTTACGTAGAAATAGAAGAAAGAACTTAGTTAAATAAGCAGTGTGGAAATTTGGCTGTCTGAAAAGTACATCAGCTTTAAAAATTTTCGGTTATAGTCGATATCATTATTTATGATTTGTGGCAAAACCAGCATCGCGATACGCGCCATTTTCAGATGATGCATTGTTGCTGGATCGTAGATACCGGCCGTGGATGAGATATATAAACCATCAGAATTTTACACGGACATTATACAGCCGTATATTTACGATAATGCATTATTTGATTGCAGTTTTACGACGCCGTGCTTTTACTATTATTCAGCCCAAAGCATAAAACCACGCTCAGTGTGTGCAGGTCCTGTATCTCGCAGTAAATCAAGTGCGAAGGAAATCCCTTGAATACGCTGATCCGTAATAAAAATTCTCGGGACAATCGCTCGTAGAAGGAAACATTCAGAAACGAGTCATGGCTATACGACGATGCTTTGCCTGAATAATATCGACAGTCTAACAGTAATTTACTGCGTATTGCTCCCCGAGTGTATTTTGCAAGAGCCATCCGCAATACAAAGCTATTCAATTAATACAAATGACTTTTTACACTCGGTTTACCTTTTTATCTAAATGAGAGCTCTCGCATTGACATTTAATCGTTTTATACTGATCTTCCATAACGTTAACGACTTTTTTTTTATATAAATGGAAAAATATAAATGGAAAATACTAGAGTTATTAAAAAGTTCATTGTGTATATTCATTGCACAGTATACTCATTAGTTCAAAGAGTAAAGCGGAACTCTCTTGCGCTCAGTACAAAAATAATGGAATAAAGCTACCATAATTCAGTT